GAATGGCGCTCTGTCATCCACACTACTATCTACAGGTGCCGCTTTCTCCTTTGCCAGTTGACCAAGTTTCTCTCGAGACGATGTCGCGAACGTTATCTCTCCATCCTGACGGTTGTTGCTGCAGTTAGAACATCTGACACGTAGAGCGGAGATGACAGCTCTTGTTGTTAATGCATTTACCTGACACGTAGGTCGGAGATGACAGCTCTTGTTGGTTATGCAGCCACCTGACACGTAGGTCGGAGATGACAGCTCTTGTTGTTAATGCAGCCACCTGACACGTAGGTCGGAGATGACAGCTCTTGTTGTTAATGCAGTTACCTGACACGTAGAGCGGAGATGACAGCTCTTATTGTTAATGCAGTTACCTGACACGTAGAGCGGAGATGACAGCTCTTGTTGTTAATGCAGCCACCTGACACGTAGAGCGGAGATGACAGCTCTTGTTGTTAATGCAGTTACCTGACACGTAGGTCGGAGATGACAGCTCTTGTTGTTAATGCAGCCACCTGACACGTAGAGCGGAGATGACAGCTCTTGTTGTTAATGCAGCCACCTGACACGTAGAGCGGAGATGACAGCTCTTGTTGTTAATGCAGTTACCTGACACGTAGGTCGGAGATGACAGCTCTTGTTGTTAATGCAGCCACCTGACACGTAGAGCGGAGATGACAGCTCTTGTTGTTAATGCAGCCACCTGACACGTAGAGCGGAGATGACAGCTCTTGTTGTTAATGCAGTTACCTGACACGTAGGTCGGAGATGACAGCTCTTGTTGGTTATGCAGCCACCTGACACGTAGGTCGGAGATGACAGCTCTTGTTGTTAATGCAGCCACCTGACACGTAGGTCGGAGATGACAGCTCTTGTTGTTAATGCAGCCACCTGACACGTAGAGCGGAGATGACAGCTCTTGTTGTTAATGCAGTTGATCCAGAACGTCGCTTCAGCAGAAATGAAAGAATCAATAAGCAAAATATACAATCGCTAATTACCAGGGCACTATTCCATTAAATACAAAATATTGCACAACTAACCATAGACCTTAAATGAGAACCAACAATCAATTAAAAGATTATTGAGTAAGTAAATTGAGACAATATCACCATATCATATGAAGTAAAGGCAATGCTAATATTTAATCATATATCTTCGTAACAATCCTTTGGTTGAACACAATGCACACTAATAATTACAATTAATAACAACATGAACATATGTCTCTGTGTCATGCGGTATCATGACGTCTGCCAGCCTAACAATACAATCAAATCGGAAATACTTTCTACCTGCACATTTCTATTTTGTGTGGTCGTTGATAATTTGTACTTCATAGTCTGATAGTCGTGCTGCAAATATTGAAACGTGCCTAGGAGACGCTTCTAAGTTTACGTCACGACACAAAACCCCTTAGTCATCTTTTTTTTTATTAACCTAAAGCTATCATTTGTATGAATCAATCAATCAATATGAAAATAAATGGGAAAAATGATACGGTACCGGCGGTACTGTCGAAAGGCTTGGTTTTAGGCACATCGGCACAATTTTAGGTCATGTCGTGCCTGCATTCCCTTAAGGACTACTCTCTCTCTCTCTAGATAACAAGGGCTAAATTCTATACAGTTAAATCATTAAAATCAAGGTCTATTCACAGTTAAAATAGTAAAGGTAGTAAAAATCTAATAATTTGGTAAAAATCTAATGTAAATAGTACATGTTCACACATTCTTAAATCAGATCTTCGTAGACAACCCCACTTCCCGGATAAAGCCCAGTACCTTCCCAGGGTCGACATTATCGAGTAGTGTTTTTAAGTTAGTGGCTCTAAAATATTTCTCCCTGACATCCTGGTATCTGGGGCAATCAACAAGGATATGTTCCACGGTGAGGCGAGAGTCACAGTACTCACAAAGTGGGGGCTCGTCTCTCTTCAGTATAAAAGAGTGCGTGATGTAGGTGTGGCCAATCCTAAGTCTGGACATGGTCGTGCTACCACGCCTTGTCAGACCCTTAGATGTGGGCCGCCACAATCTGCCTGAGTTTATTGTGAGTCTCAGCAGAGTCGGAGCAGATTATAAATTTCCTCCTTTCTGATGCTTTAACGGCCATAAGTGCAAGCGATATTGCATGCCATTCGGCCGTAAAGATGGAGCAGCCATCGGGGAGTCTACGGGAGATTGTTTTGTTCCGAAAGGAGCAGGCACATGCGACCTTTTCATCCTTTTTGGATCCGTCTGTGTAGATGGTGCCACAATCTCCGTAGCTCTCCTGCAGTTCCTTAAAGTGGACTTGTTCTATGCTTGGGTCTGTATTTTCTTTTTTGAAATTAAGGAGGGATAAATTTAATTTAGGTTTATTCATTAGCCAAGGAGGATTCTGAGGGGTTTCTATTTTAGAGATATGGACAATGGGTGGGGTTAAGTTTTGGATGGGTTCTCTCATTCGAAGGCCCGACGGCTGTATGACGTTAGGCCTTCGATTGTATAATTCTATCTCTGTGCGGTTAAATATGGAGTCAAAAGCAGGGTTCGTGGGGTTAGATTTTAGCTTGACTATATACTGCATTGCAAGCTTTTTCATTCTTATATCCATGGGGAGTTCTCCAGCCTCCACATGGAGACTTGGGATAGGTGATGTACGAAACGCGCCGAGACAGAGACGCAGGGCAGCATTTTGTATTGGTGCCAGTATTTTTAGATAAGACTTCCTTGTTCTTTGACCTGAAATCAATGGGGTGTCTTTCCTCCCTGGTTTTGACTTTTGGAACTCTGGCGTGTAGTGTGCAGTGGATGACTTTTCTGCTATTGAGGATGCAAGGTAGTCCGCTATTTCTCTGGAGGACGTGACAGTTCGTCCTTGGTTTTTCAAATGCCCTATTGCATTTGATTCTTTCCCTTTGATTTGCCTTACTGCCTTCCAAACCGCTCTAGCAGAAGTTTTGGCATCCAGACTGCCAACAAAACTTCTCCAGGAATTCCTTTTGGCTGACCGTATGGTTTGTCTAGCCTTTGCTCTAGCTATCCTCAATAGCTTTAGGTTTTCCTGGGAAGGATTCTTTATAAATGCAGCCAGTCGTTTTTTCCTATCGCCAATAGCACTTTTGAAAAGCTGTATCAAACCATGGTTTGCTAGGCCGTTTTGGATTTGCAGAGGTTAGGGGGACAAATTTCCTGGCTATACTAAGTAGCTTGCTAGCAAAGGTATCAGCTGGGTTCTGTTCATCGAGGATATTTTCAATGATATCCTCGGAGCATCTTTTTTGGAATGGTTCCCAATCGGCCTTATTCAGTTTCCACCGCTGAGGTCGTCCCAATGAGGGGGAGATTGTTAGTAATGACGATTGGGAAGTGATCACTTCCCCGTAGATCATTGCTAACTGACCATTTAAAGTCGTCCACAAGTCCAAGGACGCATATGGTGAGGTCAATGCATGTGAGAGATCCAGTTCCTGGGTGCAAGTAGTCGGGGATGCATCATTCAGTATGCATAAATCATGTTGGAGGAAGATATCCTCCAGCGTACGACCTATTGTGTCGGTATTGTTGGATCCCCACATGGTGTTATGGGCATTGAAATCCCCAAGGGGGAGTTGTTTCAATAGGTCCTCCATGTCTGTTTGGTTTAATGGAGCGCCTGGTGGTAGATACAGGCTGCAGCAAGTGATAACCTTGTGAAGGGTTATCCTAGCTGCTACGGCCTGTAGTGTGGTCTGTAGTTCTACCCTCTCATGGGGGACACTGTCCTTCACCAGGATACAGACTCCACCTGATGCTCTCTCTGCATCCTCAACATTCTTGCTGTAAGCACTGTAGCTTTGGAAGCTGATGCTATCTTTCAGAAATGTTTCCTGTAAGTAGACAGCTACAGGAGAGTCCATCAGTAGCTGCATTTCCTCATAATTGGCCTTGAGGCCTCTACAATTCCACTGTACAATTCTGGAATCCATGGCTTATTCTAAATTACCTACTTGGAGCTATTTGGCCTTGGGAGGCGTTTCTCTCTGGAGAGGGGAGATACCTCTAGTTAGAGCGGAGGTTATTTCCTCCTCTCTCACCTCGGGCATCCTCCCCGCTTTGATTTCTCCCCAGGGAACTGTTGAAAGGCCTTGTATTCTTTGTCCTAAACTTTTTTTTTAAATATATAAATGTAGGCTGCATGTTAAACAATGATACAAAACTTATCTGGTGACGCGATGAGAAGAGCATATTTAACTTAGCTCATTAATACGCCTTTAACGCTGCTTCTGAAATGCGGCCTCAGAGGTAGGCGTCCGCTGGATCTAACCTTAAATATCATGCTAAGAGCTTAGAGGAATTGGCATAAAAGCCGGGAAAGGCTATTATTGATTCAGAAAGTGGTTTATGGGAACTATTTCCCTATTTCTGTTTCTCACGTTGTGAGTAGTTGACTATGTATGTGGGTTATTTATTAGGTCAAATGCATGATTATTACAACAGCTAAATACTTTCTCACGACACTCAAAACAATAAATGGCTTTAAAATTTCAGATATTCCTTCAGAATTGAATATGTGCTCAAATAAGCCTCCTGCAGCGGCTGATGGAAGACAATGAACACTTATGGGATGTGTGCTTATTGTGTAACCATTAAGAGTGGATTTTTATTTTGGTTGTGTTGGCTGAAGAGTTTCTAATGAAATCAAGGTGATTTGAAATTGACTTGTTTCTACATATACCGGTATATCTACGTTCAAGTTGTATCTATGCAAATTTATGCATTTAATTTGTATTTTTAAAAACGGCTGTTTTAATTTATTTGAAATTAATGTAATATGCTTACATTCGATTTAGTTGTACCAGGCACTGGCTGTTAGGAGCTACAAACCAACGACCGGGTATCAACATACACTATGGCATTGTTATCTAATATTCATTGAAGCCTTTCGGGCCTTATAAAAGATGTTTGCAATGCACATACAAGCTGTCAAAAGTAAGTTTTAAAAATCTGGACGCTGAGCTTTTAAGCATTTTAACATTGTATAAACAAGCCATAATTTGGGAATTTCATTTCAAATTTTAAAAAAAATGTGTGAAAGATTTTTAACAAAAAGTGGATGCTAGCTTCTTTGGGTGTCTTTACTAAATAACATTGTGCAGAGGTGTAGGTCGACATTTTGTCAATTAATACACATTTTTTCTTTTTAAATTGTAATAGGTTACATTTTACATTATTTGGGATTTTAAATGAGTTACTATATCATGAAAAAAAAAAGGAAATCACGGCTATGAACAAGTTTGGCATTTACATAGTAGCAATAATAGTTCTTCAGTAGCTTGCTAAAAATCTGTACCAATACTGGTATATAGAAACTTGTACCCTAAGAGTAGAAGGACATTATAAATGTATAAAAAAAAAAAATCGAAATAAATGTACAAGACATTTTATGTCAGCTTTTATGAAATTTGAAGATCTTGTGTAGTCATTTATTCTTTGTTTTTAACACTTAGATTATAAATTGATCTGTGTTTTAAAAAGAAATATTTTTAACAGGTAACATTAAAATTAAGGAAAGTAAATGTTTTTCAAACAAGAATTTTATAAGAAATATTAACAAAATGAAATTTTAAGACTTTTATTGGGCCCAGCAAACAATTTGTTTACAATAAACAACTCTTTAAAAAAAAGAACAGACTTTGTTCGTTAACACAAAAAATTACTGAAAGTCAAAGACGTACAGAGAGTGAGACAAGAACCAAGAGACAAATATTGGGCCATAGTCCATTTGACATGACTTAATCACTTCCTAGAGTTTCCTTGTCAAACAAGTATTCTCCAAGACCTGAACCCACTCGCTTCAGGTTAGTGATGTAGTCACCAATCTGCTTGATGGACTCCACTTGCTCCTCCAGATACTCAGACTCCAAGAAATCAGCCATCTGTAATTAAAGTTTTCTGACTGAAATACTGGTACAATTAAACCTTTGGTAATCACAAGTACCTACAAAAATATTTTATTACCAGAAAACTATTATTTCTACAGCATTAAGATGCTATCAGTGCAGTAGAGTAGTTGCAACCATTTGCTGCTGCAATGGATGCAAAAATCAATTATCACAGTCTTTAGCTAAAAATCAAATACTGCTGCATTTCTGTTTCATTCGATCAATTACAGTTACATTAAGATACAACTTAGCAGACTGTTAATGCTCTGTCGATTTGTAGCTCTGGACAGCATGTATTAAATCTACCGAGTGAGATATATGGAGAGTAAAAATGAAATCTTAAAATCTAACTCACTAGTAATACAAATCTTTCTATCTCGTGTCTTTGGTAAGTCTTATCACACCAGCCCTTTTATGCCACTTGCATCACGACTAATCACCTTGTGGTTATATCAATGCTAACCCTAAACTGTATTGGCTACTGCCATTCCTTTGTACCCAATGGCTGTGTAGGCTTTCAATTGCCAATGCCAAAGCTCTCATTCCCACATAAGCCATAGTTGCCCATGACTAAATGAGGCCAAAGAAGGTTAATATTCACTGAATTACTGCTGTATTTAATAATATTCACTGAATTACTGCTGTCTAATAATATTCACTGAGTTACTGCTGCCTAATAATATTCACTGAATTTCTGCTGTATCTAATAATATTCACTGAATTACTGCTGTATCTAATAATATTCACTGAATTACTGCTGTATCTAGGCTACCAATATTTGTAAAAAAAAAAAATCAATATTTGATATATCCAAGATTATTAACTCTACCTGGGGGTCTTCATGGTCGGTGCAGACTTTGTGCAAGTCCAACAAAGACTGGTTGACACTCTTCTCAAGTTGAAGTGCAACTTGCATAGCTTCCAGTCCAGTACCCCATTCATCACGATCAGGTTTCTAAAAAAAAAAAAAGAAAAAAAAAATTAATTCGCATAGTTCTTAAGGTCAGATTTCTAAACCAAATAGTCACACTTCAATTAGATAAGACTTATAAAAAAAAAAATTTTCACATTTCAGCTTTAAATTGAATATATTTAAACATTACTATAAAGCAGAAGCCTTTATAAGTCTAGCTATTAGGCCCATACAACCATCTCTCCAAATACTAAGCAAAGGGAGGTAACTCCATATAACAAAAAGTGATTTTACTATTTACATTTTAAATCTAATAAAAAATGTTTCTAAAAAAAAAAATGAAAAAAAATTGGATGGACATTAAAACAAAAACAACTTGTAAAGACAAACATTTGGTAAAGTGCCTGTGCCCCCCCCCCCCCCCACCTTCAGTTATTTCTGGTACCCTCCAACATTTACCCAAAGACATTTTATAACTAGGATTTTATTAGGCCTAAACAATAATCAATGTTTTTTTATATAGTAGGCCTAAACAATAATCACAATGTTTATATATAAAATAAGTAGATGTCATGGAGTATTTACTAACTTCTATTGGGTGTCCTTGAGGCCAATAGTTGCCTGATCATGCTGATGTGGTTCTGCATATATCTCAGTTAAAATTACTTTTAGCATGACAAACTAAAAATAACCTAACCAAGGTTGTGTATACCCCTAACTAGATCTATTTCACCCAAAGTTTCTATGTGATCAAAAAAACATCCGAGCTAAAAAAATGGCACCAAAGGCCGCACAGTAAAACGAGCTACGCAAGACGTGCTGAGTGTATGCATGTATATATCTTGGGCGCATTAGTAGCTAGTGGGGGTTGGGGGCATTTGCAGTTGTGTTAAGTATCAGATCTTTACCTTGATGTCCTGAAGAACGACTCTGCCGCCACGTTTGTTTTGATATTTCATCAGCTTTTCGGCATGTTCTCTCTCCTCTTCAGATTGCTTCTTGAAAAATTTGTGAAATCCAGGAAGTGCAACATCATCTCTTTCAAAGTAGAAGGCCTGGAAAGAGTTTAAGTTTAGAGAATAAGCAAAAACAAAATTACTTCACTATCAGCGCAACTTGTTCATGCTGGAAATAAATCTTTGCAGTACAGGCATATTCAGTTAATGAGAACAGTTTTGGTTAAGATTTCCAAAGCAGCATCTAAAGAAATAATGGTAATTCTGCAGGTTCAAGGAGTTCAAGGAGCAGCCATCTTTGTTACAATTTTGTTATTGTTTATGTTCCAAAGAAATCCCAAGATAGTGTCTTTAAAAATACCAGGAATTAACATCACTTCTGTGTTTTCAAAGCAATGCTATTTTTTTCTTTTAATTTTGACTTGGTGTCATTACAATACGTTTCTTATTGTTCTGTCTTCTTTTTAATTGTTAAATATTGTCTATATCTATTCTGAATTATTCTGATATAGAGAATCTAAATTTAACTAGGCCTACAATAAATATCAGCACAGTTTATTACCAAAAATTAATTGACCTTCATTGCCTTAAGAACCTTGTCATATTAATATAGTAACAAGTCTAGTTCTAGCAGTTAGATTATGAGTCTAATTAATAGACTTTAGGACTAGATGATACTGGTATAGCTCTGCTAGATCTAGCATATTATTTAGCTTCAAAAATAAAAACAAACAAAAACCCAAATCGGAGAGAAAACCTAAGATACAAGATTACAGTCTAAACAATAACAAAGATGGCTGCCCCTTTAGCTCCTGCAGAACTACTGAAATGATTTTTTAATAGTTAAATACTTTATTAAATAAGACAGCTAGATCTCTTGATTTCCATACAACCCTGTTTTACTATACTACACATTTTAATTACAAAGTTATAAAATAAAAACGTGATGAATTTTAGTTTAAGAAGAGGCTTACAGTATTTGTGACTTGATAAAGAGGCGTGTCATTTCCAAAGCTGCCAACTACAAATAAACATTTCTTTTACAAATCTAACTACTATTTTTTTTTTATAAGAAAACGATTTTATTTTATGCAGATCTAAAAAAAAAAAATTGATAAATTATTGTAAATATATATTTTTGTTTTTGTATTTTTTTATTTCAAATGCACATTGTTTGTTTAGAGTTTTGATCTAGATCTATGTAAAAAAAAATATATTTATAGGCCTATATATATATATATAACAACATCCAACCATCAAACACCCTAACACAACCATGCAACCAACGATCAATCCAAGCAAATAACCAACCACAAACATCCATCCACCCATCTATCTATCATCAAAATTTACCTTAGTTTCTATAATTAATTACTTTATTTATCTTTAGTACACTTGCAACAGCCTTTAGTAAACAAAATGTGAAAAAGAAAAAAAAAAAAAGATCCTTAACTTAACAAAATACAAGTTGGCAACACCACTGTACATTACCAACAAACAAAATGGCGGTGTGCAGATCATATTAAAAGTCGCTAACGTACTCTATTCATGTCATTCAAAATGTAAAGGTTCATTTTTTTTAATCCAAATTTATTAAAAACACTAATTAACTGTATTAAATTTTATCCTGGCTCAATATCAGCATTTTATGAACGCGGGACGCTGATATACAGGATTACCGGTATCTAGTTACCTTTACTATAATATTTTTATTCAAGTCCTAATATTAAGGAGTAAAACAGCACTTTCTACAGCCTATGCTTAGAATTTTTAAAGTGATGATTGGATTGCACAGGCCAATACCACTCATACTAAATGTCATTCACAGTGGCACAGAAGTCTCAGGCAGCTGTGAACAAAAGATCATAGCTTTTATTTCAGTTTCCATCTCCTAGACTGCTTGCCGAATACCAGATACCCAACAGGCTGTCCAAAAAACAATGTGGCATGAATTGTGCTTATAGAAGTTATGAAGACATATCATAAGAATACCATTTTCTTTACATTCTTTTGACACTTTTGTGGAAGATCATTTTCAAATGAAAATACTACCTTCAATAACATGGATGATTAAAACTATGTGGCATTATCAGTTCTTAAGACAAGATCTAGATTTATGATAATAGACAATACTAATACTACTAATAGTCTTCATAACTTCATATGACTAGTCACTTGACTATATAGATCGATAGCTTTAGATCTAGACTGGTGACTCACCATTGACTGATACGTGTAGCTAGCATATAGCTCCATGTTTATTTGTCGATTGATTCCAGCCTCACAATCAGCATGGTAGTTTTGACGACACTGACTAACGGACATTTTCAGATCGTTTGTTTTGAACAAACTTCTTAACAAAGAAATATCTTAACAAATAGCGATACAAGGTTTCGGCTTGAAGTGTTTGAAATTGTCTGTACGTACACTGACGCAGCAAGACAATATTCTCTGTTCCCTCTGAGCAGAACCGAGGGCTTTATATAGTACGATTGTCGACCACACCAAGGTCACATGACCGAGTTATATTTCCTCTTTCACTCTGAGGCTCTCGCAGGGTTTTCGTGGACATAAATTAAGGTTTCTAAAGAGGAGTGAGAAGGATGTATCGGTCACAAGAATTTTAGGAATCAAATGTAGTTTCATCTCAAATATTACAAAACTAAATAATGGCATTCTGTCCTTAATTATGGTACAGCGATGCGGCTCTACAATTTAGGTCAGGTTGCGCTCATTTTCTGAAAACTATGAAATTTATTTTTTCAAATTACATTTATTTATTTTTTATCATAAATAATTCAAAATAAGATCTATTTACAAATGTTAAATTCTCGGGGAATTGAAAGTTCATTCG